AGAATGATTAATGAGGTTTGTAGAAGAGTTATGCATTTTTATGGGTTTATTTCGATTTACAATTATTTTCAGAGTATAATTAGAAAACTCTATCAGCACAACAACATATTAAATACTAGCGGCTAGGAAAACAAAAATAAACCTATCCCACGGGAACCGTACATTTTTCTGGGATAACAAGTAGCCTATGTGTTATTCCAGACTATAATCTATCTCTGTGCCAAATTTCATCTAGATCCATTCCGAAGTTCTGGCGTGAAAGAGTAACAGACATACATACATACATACATACATACTTTCACATTTATAATATTATCAGTATAAATTTTATACATATTATTACCATATCTTTTGTACTTGTATCCTTAGATCCTAACATAGTGTACAACGTATCTTAATAATGAAATCCAACTTTTAACAGTAACAAAGGATCTAGCACTTTAAGTTTTGGAAATAGAAGTTAAATTGGCGTGTTTGAAGTATAACGTAATATCGGGGTTGTAATCCTGTTTACCTGCTAACGTGTCAAGGTCGAGGTCACTAAGGCCAGCGTGAGAGCCCTATTCCACCTGTTATTTGGGAGCATACCTGTGGCAAGATGCCAGCCTCGTACTAGGCTATCAGGATCTATTAGGAGGTTCTCCTCACCTGGCGCATGCGTTCTACCTGTCCTACCTGTGCCTCGCGACCAATATTGCGAGACACCTTTACACCGTATTGTCGTACTCGTACGGCTATAAAACGAGTATTTGAGCGAGAAATGGGAGTTCATAGCAAACTGGTTTGGGGAGGCTCCCCCAACGCATGCGCTCTTATACACCTGTTGACAATCCAATTTGTGTACTTTACCATTGGCACGTGACGGCGCGGTCGTAAGAAATAACACATTTTACACTATTAAGCTCCTCTACATAGTGATTCGTAAAGTAATAATCAATTTGACACAAACTTAATTTTCAAAATATTAAGTTTCATATACGTATAAAGTTTCAGCAAAACGAGGCTATCAATTCACCATATTCCAGTTATTATGACTGTATATTGATTATGTCACTGAGCTCTTCTAGATGACTAAATAATCGCTTAGTTATTTGGCTAACTAAGACCGACAAGTATTTCAATATATATACATATTAGCGAATGTTCATTTTTTATCACTTTTTTTTGTTTGGAAAATAAAATTTGATGACAATAGAATGGCAGTAAAAGAGGCGAGTATTTTGGCAATTAGGCGGTGATTGACCTAAAAACAGCGCAAAGCAATTAGTCGCGGCGTGCATTACTGTGAGTTAATATTTACTGCCGGCCAGTGTTTGAAGTTAAAATCTTTTAAAGCGTTTAGGAAGTAAACTGCTGTCAGACTTAGACTTTTATACGTATTTTTAGATACATACTAAGAATATATTGATTAAAAATTATACTTATTTGTCACTTAATACTTTAGAATCAAGTGAAAAATAAAGCAACTTATATCTTGTTAGTTTTTAAATATTGCTTTTCAAACCTTAACAATATACGATCAAAAGTAAAATATTGTTTTATATTTAAAATTTCTGATGTATTTTCTTACATGAAAACTTAAGAAGCTATAAAAATAAAACCGAGTTCTATAAGCATGACAAATTACTGTCGCAGGATAAAAAATATGGAGCAATCACTTCCTCTCAGAAGCCCTTCTACTGCGGAAGAATTAATATATTTTTTTATTAATCCTTTAAATTAGACAAAAGCAGGTGTTTGGGTTTCCTCTACTTCTTGATATAGTTCAAATTTTTGTTATAACATTATCTTACATCAAAATAAACACGTGAGATTTAAAATTATTACGTCGAATAGCTTAGATTACTAGGAACATACATGCCTCAGTATTCTCAGAAGTAACGCTTAGAAATTATGGAATAAAAGGTTTTATCGAAAAATTTTATTTTGCGTAATAAATAAAATAGCAAATATGTTTACATCCATCATAATATGTGTCAGTCGATAAAAGCAATAGTAAAGTGAGACCCTGACTCTGCGGACACCGTGGGCGGCGGAAGGGCGGCTATCGGTCGTCCGCTCTACATCGCATGCATCATTGTCCGATGCTACTCCTTCAGAGTTATGTCTTTCTAGTACATTTTTGGCGCACGTTAGAGGTTTGAGCTAAATTAAAAAGACTTTTAAAATGAGTAAATGAGCTTGCAATAGCTCGGTAAAGCTACTTTCCCCGTTTCTTTGACGGACGCGACGCGTGACTCACGTTTGTATCGACTGCGTGCCATAGTTATCGCTAAATTATTAATATATTATTTACAGTTTTCAACTCACTGGAATTCAAATTCATATTTAATATAGTAAATAAAATGCGACTATTCTTATGTTATAAGCGGAAAACGTTATTTGTACTGGGATATGGCAATAAAGTACCTACAGTTCTTGTCCTTTACGTACATACATAGTCCTTTGATGAGTCGATTAATGATCATGCAACTCCTGAAAGACGGAAGGTACCCTATTGAAGATAAACAATATACTTCCAAGATTTATAGTTTGTTGTGACGTTTGTAGTCGTTTGTGTGATGAGCACGAATGTTTGTACTCCAGTCATGTGTGTTTATATTTATAACTAGCATTGCCCGCGGCTCCGCCCGCGTTCTGATAACCAAAAACCAAATTCTTAGGTTTTACATATTAGTATACTCTTACATTAGAGTTTTGGCATTTTTCTCAGAAATGAGACATTTTCCCAGGGTAAAAAGTATCCTATATGTTGACCCGGATAACCAGCTATCACCATACCAAATTTCATTAAAATCCCTCTAGTGATTTTTCTGTGATGCGGTAACTGACAGGCAGACAGACAGACAGACAGACAAACAGACAGACAAAAGTTCTAAAAACCATATATTCGGCCTCTGTATCGATAATAATGTTTATTTCAATAAGATTTTCCAAAAAATATCTAATGTACAGATTCGGCTTAGTTATAATTTTATTATATGTATAGATATGTATGTATTTAAAGTTATATAAGTAAAGTGTATATACTATCTGGTATCCATAACACAAGCCTCGTAGCTTACCATGGAACTAGATGGTGCTGTGTGTTAATGTCCCAACATATTTACTATTTATTTATTTATAGTTATGTACAAGGTTCCGATTAGTGGCGTTGTAGTAAACGTTGTAGTCAATATGTTAAAAAATAAAACCCCAAAGTTTGAACCAAAAACGGTCGTGATGTAGGCCTTAATCAAGTTATTAATAAACTTTTATATTCTGGAAAAAGCGAAATACGTCTGCCGTTTCAGCTTATCCTGTAGTAGAAGCCGCAGGCTACTCGAATCTAAATCAACTATAATATTGTCGTGAACAATATAATAGCATAATAAAAATTCCCCGCCTACTGAATGTCGGCCACACAGGGCGCCCGGGATTAAAATGATTGAGGTTTATTCCTGAACAGGTCCTAACGTTAGGTTTCTTTTGTATCCTCACGCAATTACCTGGAACAAAAAATATCATATTAACTTTTATGATTCACAACTAAAAATACATGTAATGACATCCTAAATAACTAAGAAAAATGATAAAACATACTAATCACACATTATAGTGAAATTCAATCAATATCGAGTTATTGACAGACTGTAAAAGCAGCAAATTGTAATTATTTATAATTAAAAGTCCAATTAGCAATAATTAATCTTTGCTATATAGCTGCAAGTACTTTAAATATTTAATCCCGAACATGTGAATAACTTAATATCTGTTCACAAAACAATAGGGTGCTCCAGTGAGATGAGATACGCCGAGAATTTCAAGCGTTTAACTTAAAGGTCAACTGTATCAATTTACAATATTTATTAATAGCAAGTATAACTTATGTACATTATAAAGGATAAATAAAAGCGTTCAATCGCTTGTGTTATAACTTATAAATAAATCAGTTATTTTACTCTTTAAATATTCATATGAAGGAACCAATTTGAAGGTCATTTTCATTTTAAAGTATGGCTTCGATGCAAGCCCTACAAAAAAACATTGTATGTATAACTTTTGGAATTTGCTATTTACTTGCTTTTCTTTAATCCCAATTTTGTTACAATATTATTTACTCTTGGTATCTTAATCACAATTCAGAAGAATCTAAAAACATCATCATAATTATTTGTTTAAATTACATAATATATCAAGGTGGCAAGAGATCTCAGCATAAATATAAATAAATTTATATTGATATACACTCGAAAAACGTTTGTTGGGTAAATACAAAGATTTTTCTTATTCCACGTGGGCATATTTTATGGGATATTTTTATGTTGTTGATTGTAATAGCTTTTAGTAACATTCCTAAAATCGGATAAACATATCTATTATGTAGAATTAATATTTTTCTATGGCAAGTAAAGTTAATAAGTATTGGTTAATGTTTTCTCACGATGTATTTTATTTTCAGACATTGGTGCACTTATATATAATATTTAGAGCTCCTGTGGCTAATGTTTGCTCTACTTTACTATTCAACTCGTGCAAGTTGTAAAGCGCACTAATAAAGCTCTCAAATTAAAGTTTACTAATAGCTACCGGTGTTTATTAACGAATATCTGAGTTTATTCAAATATTTTCATTACCTACATCTTAATAGCACATGTAAAACTTAAAAATACATATTTTGAACAGACTATTGTATAATTTACACATACATTTTAAAACAAATATCTATCTAAACAAAATTTGTTGAAATTATGAGAAACAAATTTTATGGTAATTTAATTTACCACCAAAACCCATATAATTTCCGATTAGGGACGTATAACATTATCCACTTGTGTGTTCTGTCTCGGCACGGGGCGTCGTGCCGTCCCGCTCGCGCGCACTGCGGGACCCGTACGAACTAGTCCTACTCTGCGACACCTCGCACTGCGACCACTAACAAATATTAGAAACCTACGTTAGCCTCGTATGGGGAAGTGTTAGAAAAAAAACAGCGTTTGCTTAGCAAATTCTAATCTCTACACATACTCGTGCACCAGGACAGCATGAGGGAATAGAAGTCCACGTGCGCCTCCGTGTGGGACACACACGCGCCACACACGCGCCCCGGGGTTGTCGCGCCCCAACCCACACGCGCACACGGACACGCGGACGCGACCACCCTGTCTAAGCACGGTGAGGGAGGGAGACGACGCGACCGTCGCGCGACGAGCGTTAGACAGAGTTAGATATGTCACACACTTGCGGTGGGTGAGACTCCGAGCCTGCGCATCTTGACCATCTAAGGGTGGTGGCGCTAGTTGCTCCCCGTCTCTGGGTGCCTGGTACATGTTTTCCATTTTAGGACAAAAGTTGATAAAAAAGGGCGTTCGGGTGAGGGAGCTTATGGGGCCCCGAATAAAGCCTTAGTCGTTTGAAGGGTGCGTAGGGTTCGGGACAGTTGCATGAGTGCGTGTCGCGTCTTGTCTGTGTGCGTGGCGGCTACGGGCGCTTGGCTTAGTACGAGTTTCTTGGGAGATATAAATTATTGTTCCTTTCAACCTAAGAATTTATATCTTTATTTGGTAATTTTGCGATATAAAATTTTACAAAAGCTTATATAATTTTTAATTAAGTAAGTTATATTATTTATTTATAAAAAAGCGCTCAATCAACGTAAGGTTTCTAATCAAAAGTCATAGTTTCCATGGAAAGATTGATCGTTCTTTCTCGAAATGTTTTCATGAACCTAATTCACCGTTACTTGGTTAGATTCTTTATAAGTTACGTGTGATTCATATTAGACAAAAGTAGTATCGGGCACACGCCTCATCGCGCCCTATTGTGAGCAATGGGGACGTCCAGCCGACCGCGAAATGCGACCATTAAACGAACAATTCTATGAGCATTAGTACCGATGGCTCTATTTATATGCCCCATCATACTACTACTGTATGCTGATTGAAACGTCGTGTGTCGGACATTAAATTTTCATATATATAAGACTGCACGCGACATTATGGTAATGGCAATGACCTTTGGGAATTGTTAACATACTAAAATACAATAAATTTAAATTTAAGATTGAAGACCAAACGAAAACAAACTGGATTCATGAATGTCAAATTCTTGTTTTGCAAAAATCTTTCTACTTTTTTGCTTTTTTTAATGATAATAGATACATATTGTGATTATGTATACACATCAGGTCAGCTGGTTTTTTTATAAAATATCAAGAATGTGCTTGTTTATTCACAGGTCACGTCACATATTAGATATTTCTTATAATTACGTAAAGCAAAGTAGATAGTTAAAACAATAAATATACTTAATCAAAAATCTAATTGAAAAGTTTTAGAAGTGTAGTTGTTATGAATTTGAAATGAATTCAATTCCATCACGCCCTTGCAATAGCCGATAAAATGCAAAATTAGCACTTCTTTCTCTCACTTCCGTAGAGCTTTGCTTTTGTGTACATTACTGTTTCACGCATTGCTATTATTTGTTGATAAAGGTACCGCTTTAGGGCCTACGTAGACGATAGATTTTTTTATTCAGATCAAAAAAAAAAAAAGGCAATGAGTGAAGAATCACCATGTGCGTTAAGCATTTAACTTTTAAGATTGATTAATTGGTTTATTAATATTAATTAACTAAAACTCTATCCTGTTTGAACTAAAACAGTAGTTAAAGTGGGTTTAATACACAATAAATGACTAACTTGACTTATTGAATTTTCCAAATAATTTTGTAGAATATGATTACATATAAAATATTGTGTATGTCTCTATTTGTATACATTGTTGTGCTTTACATACTAGATTTTATATGTATATTCTTAAAATTTAAGAGTCTGTGCTTAACCTTAAGTGAACTTGGAGCGACCTGCTTACTTAACTGTTTGTCTTGATGACTTGATATAATATTGAAGTAACTGCAGTAGTAGCAGTAACAAACAATCGCAGAAATAATGAGAAAATTTTTGGAATTAATTTGAAGTTAAATGAATATTATAAATACGAAATGTTTGGATAGATGTTTATTACTCAATAATCCCAGAACGGCTGAACGGATCTGGATGAAATTTGGAACAGAGATAGATTATAGTCTGGAATAACATATAGGTTACTTTTATCCCGAAAAAATGTACCGTTCCCGTGGGATAGATTTGTTGTTTTTCACTAGAGACGAACCCGAGTGAAGTGACGGTGAGTTGCTAGTTGTGACATAAATAAAGAAGATACGATTAATAATATTGTTACATAACTTTACTGACATACTGAATACCAAGAAATTTCAAATAAATACAATTGAACTGTAGATTTATAATGATCCCGTAAAAGTTTTTATCAAAACTTTTATTTGAATAATTATTCTAGTGTTAGATTATAAAATAGGAAAAAACATACAAACATTATCTCACGCCGAAAGCCACTTTAGATAGCAATATATCACGGTCGAGAAATCTTATTATTATAATTAATACTATTCACGAGCTCCTAATAAGAGGGTTAAAAAGTTTCCCTTTCATTGGAATGCCCGACCGGCGAGTCCCGGGCCCCGGCGGAATGCGCCACTGTCCCTTTCTCATCCTCCTTCTCTTGCACACGTCGACCTGTCTAAGCTCGTTAGCTTTGATTAATGACTTATTTTTTATAAGAAACTTATTAGTATATCGTATCTCGACGTGCAGCGCAATTAACCTTTAAAAACAACGATGTATTCAGATTAAGTAAATGCGTGTTTGTACGTTAGAAAATGAAATGATTCCCATGCGGCCGGCGCGGCGCGGCGCGAGCGTGCGTCGACCGTCTCCCAGCTTATGCTAGCCTAGTATCTGGGATAGAAGTGATTACGTCATACATCATATGATGCTCTTTTATGTATTTCAATAATTAACTTTATCGTTTAAATTAGGTTCTATTGATATTTCTAAGTAATTATTAACTGACACTTTTGTAGAGTTTTAGATGAATATAAAATCATTCCTCATCTTTCACAATATAATTTGTTACAATATAAAAAACAAAAATTTGGTAAACAATCAAATCTGAATTTGTATTTTTGGTCATCACGAAAGTTATTTTTGAGGTATTTGCCTGTTTTTCAAGTCCAACTTAACAGGAAATAATTTGTAGGTACTTTTTTAATACATTATTTTACTTCGTTAGGTCCAGGACGAATTTCTTTCAATGCATAATGAATGCGAAAAAGCTCTTTCAATGCATGCGTAATCTATCTCTAAAATAAGATATTGCTCAAATATATTCATTCACTTATATATTTTCTATTACACCTACAAGATGAAAATAACTTGCATGAGATAAGCCAGATCGTTTTGTTATGTTTTAAATCGATTAAGGTTAACGATATATCAATGAGTTCTTCACAACATCACTACCCTCATAAGAACTAAATGTACGAAAAAACAACTTCCGGATCCAATTAACCATTTCTTATCCAGGTCTGTTGAAGCGGCTTTCACGATGAGGAGATTTATTGGAGAGTGGGCGATATACTTTAAACACTGCAAAATAGAAGTTCACACAAGTGATCAAATTTCGTCTCAAAATATATTTTTATACGTTAATTATATACGTAACGTTTTCGATAGATATATAATTAAACTGCAATAATTCCAGTGGTAACCCTGTGGTAACGCGCTCGGTTGAGAAACCGAGTGAGGCGAATTCAAATCCTGGGTCTCGCATCTCTGATATTTTTATGTGCGAATGATTTCCAACATGATTACCACTTGTCTTACGGTGAATGAAAACATCGTGAGGAAACCTGCATATCTGAGAAAACCTATCAAGTTTTCGAAAGACATGTTTAGTCCGCCAACCCGCACTTGTCCAGCATGATGGCCTGACCACCTCCCCCCCCTCCTCCTCCCCCTCCCTCCTCCTCCCGGAAATTGAATGGAGGCCCACCCCCGCAGTGGGACGTTAAAAAGGGGGAATAGATAGATAGATAGAATTTTCATTAGAAAATAGGACATGGATATTTTACAATAGAGATTTATTTAAAAGAATGGAAGCGGTAAATTAAATTATTGTATTTACTATACAGTGAATTACTGTTGAGTAGATTGGATTGTATGTTTCAATAATACAGTAACGCTGAAACTAAGCAGCTAGCATTTCGACATTCTAGGCATATGATGAAAAGCAGAGTATCCCATATGGCCTACATTCACTAGATACGTTTACGTAAAGAGGTGTTTGTTTATGTAAGGAAAAGCTCTGAAAATTCCACTCAATTTTGCATATTCACATACACATTCTCCTCGATATTCTATTCATAAAAAAATGTGTGTGTGTACTTATGTACGCACGCAAGAAGTTATACTTTTTTGGCGTAACAGAACAAAAATAGCTAAAGATTTCATCCCGTATCTCACAACTCTCTGTTTGTATTCAAATTCAAAATATTTTATTCAGCATTAAATTATTACAATTTTTTACTGAACGTCATGAGTCTATTACCAGTTCGAAAAGAAGAGAGCTATAAAAGGAATGATTAATTAATAAAAATAATTAATTAAGGCATATTAAGCATATTACAATCATATACTTATAAAATATCATTTAACTAAACAATATATAATATTATACATAGGTATATCATTTATCAGACAATAACAACGGTTACCACGGCAACAAACAGTTATCAGCTAATTTTATCATGTCGCTTTTTGGCTGTCAGTGTGCGCGCGCATCGTAAAAATTTTACTCTCATAATTATTTGTAAACGTCCCAAAAGAAGTATAACTCCAAAAATTATTCTTTCTATCAAGAGTGGGATGTCCATCTCTTTAAAAATATAAACTGTACATATGTATAGATTTACTGTTTTAAAAAAGAAAAATATTTTTTTGCAGTAATACTGTATCAAATAAATAGTACCTTGTATCAGCTGGAAAATACAATATTGCAGATGCCTACCATTAATTCCAAAGTGCACCAAGTTTGACCCCAAGTAATATGTTTTAGTGTTGTGCAATAATTCCATTTCTATTTTTATCGATAACGCTATAAGTAACGATTATAGCCCATTACACATCAATATTCCCAGTAGGTCGATTAACGAGCTTATATCAATAAAAATTTAATACTGATTCGTTCTTAACATAACTTTCAATCAAAGATATTCGTATTATTTTATTGTAAAAGCGTTATTAGGCTGTACAAGATACACATTTTAGAAAATATTTTTTAAAAGTATCACCTACGCACGCGAACCCGTTGTCTGTATTTATTGAATAGACTAATATGTCACAGGAACCTTGTACATCGCGATAAAAAGGAGCCTGAACACTCTCTGCGCAAGGAACACGTCGGTTCGATGCTCCGTAGCT